ATGAGCCACACCTGTTCCTGGTATTTACCTGAGAACAGGTGTGTCTCATCAGAAGCCAGGTAGGACAGAAAACCTACTGGACGGTAGCTCTCCAGGACCGGAGTTGGAGACCCCTGGTGTAGAGGAACCAGCTGTTATGATCTTGCATTCATCCTTTGGATATGGATATACCTTCTATTGCATGTAATTTTACAGATATGCATGTTGCTTTTCCCTCTTTTCAGACACACACCATCAAAATAGCTGCACGGTTTCATTTCCAGCTGCTCTAGCTATCACAAGATAGTCATTCATTTATTTCTTACATTTGCAATAGCAAAAACAATAATTATTGAGCTGTAAAAGTTAGTGATAAGACAAATTATTTGTGCATGCCATTATAATTAATGTGTCACAAAAGTAAGAACGAAATAATGTTCACTTGAAGTATACCCAATATGTTACAGAGTGTCTCTGCTAGCCTGTACTCACAGCGCAGCAATCTTCACAGGTATTACACTAATTGTTTAGTAAAACACAACAGACAGGGTAATCAGATGTTATAAGACATTTACCTCATTTGCTTTAATGCAGGGTGTGGGGTCCTCTATGGCCAGTGTGCAGGGAAGTTCATCAGAGTCCATTTCGACCACACTATCAGTGTCCCAGTTGTCTGTTAGGACGATATAGATGTACAACGAACTAAATGCTTTTTCAACAAATGTATCAGATACCATTACAGTTACTACAGTATCATAACAGTCTTGGGACAGAGTAATATGAAATGAATGTAATAATACTGCTTACTCCCAAAACTAAAATGACTATCAGTATCGCATTTTTGAACACTTGAGTGACAACAGGATGACAAGTATAATATGTAACAATGTAAATTATAGACAGACAGAGTGGGGAAAATATGATGACTGAAAACAAAAAACAAATAATTAAGATTCACAAAATCCCCCATGGTAATTTCTGTAAAACCACAGCATCGGCATATTGTCAGACAGAGAAAAGATGACAGGCGGTGAGAAATGTGTGAGTGGAGAAGCAGCCACCCCCCCCCCCCACACGCCTGCACTCAAGCAGCTCCCTACCTGGGTCCAAGTCAATGAAAACATCGGTGTCAGGCTGCTCCGACCTCACGCTCAGCAGGGTGTCACCAGCCGGCTGATCCTGCTGGAGGGAGTAGCAGTGGTCCACATGGATCACTTCCATTGTCACGGGGCTGGCCTCCGGCAAGGGGGTGAAGCCCATGAGCCCGGGGCTCTGGCAGGGGGTACTGTCCGAGTCACTGATCCTGGGGCTTTGGCACTGGGGGTTGCCCACGTCGGAGATGCCACTGTCACTTCCTGGGGGAGAGAAAGACTGGGCAAGAGCAGCGTCGTCTTCCCCCAGAAGGCTGTTAAGGAAGTCCTCCGTATCCTGACTGTTCAGAATCTGGAGCAAAAATATATATGGGAAAAAAACAATAGTAAATCACTCTTCTTAATCAACGACATGTAATACAATGCTCATCAAACGAAACAGAAAAGATTTTTTTCAGAAGGAAATTATATTTGGCAAATTTTCGCCTGTGACCCAGACCAGGACGGTCCTGTTGTCAGTATCCCCTGTTAAAAGCAGATTTTATGCGTGCGAAATGAGGCAGTGTGTGGCATCTGTGTTCAGACTATGGTTGCGATCAGAAGGTTTCCAGTTCAGATTTCGTGATTAAAAGAGTGAGTCCAGCGGCGCACCCTTGGAAAAAGCCCTAACCCTCAAACTGCTTCAGGGACTCACTAATCCTGCTCTTTCAAATGCATGTTGCTTTGGACAAAAGCAGCTGATAAATAAATATAGAATAAAATTTAGATGACTAAAATGACCCACTGTTTTTAAGCCCAATTCAGTACTGGACAATCACACACACACACACACACAAGTCTCCACAGGGTCAGAGAAATGGTTTTACCCCCCAAAAGAGGTATATTAAACAGCATTACACTTACATCCTGCCCGAAGAGCCAATCCTCAATGACCCCAGAGAAGGGGTCATGCGCTCCATGGTCTTCATCTAAGAACAGACCGAAGAGGTCTGTGTCGTCCATCTCCGGAAAGGTGTCAGGAACTGACATGCCACAAGAATCTGGGTGTGTTCCCGTCACTGTGAGGGTAAAAAGGCACAATCTCATCTGACTGGTCTTACACGACTTCGGTAGTTGCTCAGTTCAAAGGGCTATTGGCCCACCCTCCAGAAACGGCTCCAATTCCTGTCTAGCACCAGACTCTGTCCCCCCCCCCGCCCCTGCTCTGTGCATATACATTGGTGTATTATACTGACAAAATAAGGCACTTCACAGTGAAATCGTATCAGTCATCTTGGTGTCTAATGTATAAATCGTGACAGAGGTGTAGCAAGATTTATCATCCTACAGTTGCGGCTTTTTTCAGCAATAAGTCTTGCGTACACAGGACAAAAAAAAAAAAAACAACTGAAAAGCAACATCAAGTGTGAATCATCGTTTTTATATTCCATAGTATCTAAACATTAACAGCCAGCTGAATTTTCAGTCCCTGTAGCTCCCCTCTTATGCCACCTGCACCTGTGGCTTTGGGCTGTGAATCTCCTAAACGTAAATTTGCTCTCACATTACAAGAGATCAGCTTCACTGGAAGAATGGCTCTATTGCTACACAGTCTGGGTGTTGAGAGTTTCATGCTTCAGAGAGTAAGGCCTCCAGGCAAAAGGGCTCGGCTGAGACATTTAAGTTCCATGAATATAGCGGCATTGGCAGAAGATCCCCTGATAAAGCACCAGGAATGTCTCTGAACATTTATGAGGAGAAAATGAGCTCTATCACTGAAGAAAAGGCCGAGAAGCCTGGCTTCCTAGATTTTAACATCCATTTTACTCTGCAATTATAAGTAATATCATAAATTAGATGTTGTTAGCAAATGACCAGAAACATACTGTATAAAAACCTAGCTAAAAGCTATTTGCTCTTGTCTGAGAGTGCAAAATCGGGAGAGATGTTATTTAAGGTTAAGTTACAATGTTACTTATAAGTGTTTTTAATATATATATTAACAACAAAAAGTTTACATACATATTAAAAAGAAAAAGTTAAAAACTTTGTGAGTTTTTGCTGGTTGAGTTTGAGAAACTGATATAAGCATAATAGTTAGGAAAGAATTAATGTCCCTTTAATTTTTCTTACCAGTTAATCTTTTGTTACTGATATAATCGGTAACATGAATTGTTAGTTTCTTAAAATCTGTTTTAGAGACGAACGGTTCTTATTGTTCAGGCCATAGGGGACCACACCCTTTGCAGTGATGGGCGGGATGGGAACAACGTTCTCAGCTCTTCACTGACATTGTTCACTGAATTCCTGCCCTTGATCACATGGATGTCACTATCACCGACAGACCCGCTACACTCAGTAATAGTGATCATGGCATCTTCACACTCAATGGAAAAAAGTGTTTTTTTATTTTTTTTATTTCTGCAAACAGTCAGAAAATAAATTTGCAGGAATGCACTGTGTGGTCCATGGCCTCAGCACAGTGGTCCCAAGGGAACTCAGAGCACCCTCATGACTCAGGAGAGGTATTTGAGGATTTTGAGAATAGTAGTAGATGTTACTAAGACATTCAATAGTAACCAGGTGTCCACAAAGATAAAAAAAGTAGTCAATGGCTGCAGAACTGCATCAGTTGCAAAACAGGCTCCAGCACCCCTCCTACAATGGCCAGAACACCCTGAGGAGTGCATGAAGGTCACCTTCACTGGGGAGTTATAGGTGTTCTGCATTAGCAAGGGGCTGCAGTGCAGTGGCTTTCAATACTTAAGAGTCCCAACGAGCCCTATTTGCAGCGTCTATTCTCAGGGTTTCACCGAGATCCTGAAGTCCTCTTTGCACATGGCAAACATTTGACTGGCTCAGTTGGTGTAGAGGAGGGCCTGCAAATCAGGACATCATTCGGTTACAGAACCACGATACAAATCCTCCACGAGCCTGTCACAATCATCATACTTTCTTTTTATTTTGAGCCTCATGGAAACAGTAGGATGTTTTGTATGCCGGAATTACAACGCCGTTACATTAAAACGATAGTGATTTGTGATCGTCGGTGATAATTAAGAGTGGACGTTCAAAAACGCTTAAAACCAGCAGCCAGGAAAATACCGATTAGACCGGTGCTTTGCCAGACCGCCTTACCGCACGCAGCGCGAGGTCACGCCCACGCCCATGTGACAGCCGAATAAGGGTGACGTACAGAATAAACAAGACACGTTCAGCCATTAACCTATTGTGCCAAACAATCTAATCTAAAAGGTCTTACTAAGATTATTTAATGTACAGATCCCTAAATGATTCCCCAAGTGTCACAAACTGTTGTTAAATGCACAAATGTCACAAACTGTCAAATCGAATAACGTCGCTAGTGAACGCTGTAGTCTAAAAAATTATTTTTCACAATTAATAAAGCATCTTTGCAACCATGTAGCACATGCGTTCTGATTATCCGAGTCATCTATTATAAATTCAGATTTACAGTTCACGGGTAAATATGCTGGCATACGGCTAGGAGGCACTAAGTAAAATACACCACAACGTTCACTAGTCATTTTTAACAAAACCATCTAACAAAGAACAAATACGTTTAACACCAAAACCGCCAACGCAAAATAACAAGACCGTGTAACAAATACACTGATTTAATAAATAGATTTAAAAAACTCCAGCATCTTATTACCTTTTAAGGGCTTTACGATGTCGCAGAAGATGTATATGTTATTAGTTCCTGGATCTTCTTCTCTTGTATTGTAAGCGGTACCGTCTTCCTTCCTGATGAAATCACCTTCCAACAAGACAGAAATGACGTCATCCCGCAGGCGCGAGCGACCCGACGTGCGGCTTCGTTAGGGACTTGTAGTCCATCGAAATGCTTGAGAAATTCCCGTTCCCTAAGTTACATGGTTAACAACTTTACCCAACTCTTATACATTCAGTCATTTATAAAACTGGATATTCTGTCAGAGGAGTTCAGATAAAACACATTTGTGCTTGTTTTACTTCCAGTTGTGTTTATTTAGAAGATAAACGTCACTTGACCTCCGTAGCAACGTAACGTAGCAACGTGATACATGATGAATGTTTTTCTGTGTATTTCCCTTATAAGCCGGTGAATATTTGTACATTTAAAATGTTTTAAGAGTGTAATGAATCACTTCCAGTACAGTTAATTTCAGGGTTTCCAAAGTAAATTGAACTACCTACTGCAGTAATTCATACCAAAACAAGGCATACCAAGCACCGATTGAATCTGCAACTTTTGGCAAAGTGCCGTATTCGCATGCTAAAACGTTTGGGACTTAAAAGTTTACGGGATAACTGCAGTCGGCATAAGCGCATTGCTACAGCCTAAAGATTCGATTTCATGCTTCATAGTAACTTGGGAACACAGTGGTCCTATTGAAAGGACGTACCAGAAAAGCACAATGAGCTATTTCATCATGGCAACCATATCATTTTGACGTAGTGTTAAAAAAAATCATCAATTTAATATAGTTGTTTATAATTTTAATGTTACTTGGAAAATTAGTTCTTTTCTGTCCAGCATATTGTGTAGGAATAAGCTTCAACAGGAGAGGGAAACATGTTAATTTGCTTTTAACAGTAACAGTCATGATTCATTATCACACAACCAATCAGTGTTTTTGGGCGAGGAACATTTGTACTTATATCACATTATATTGTATCAAAACCCTTCATTATCAGATTTCTTTTCAAAACAAAATTCAAAAAATATATTAATATATTAACTGTGACAATGATGTAATAAAATCTGGACAGACAGTCTGCTGAATGTCTGCAGGCTGGTGCTGCAAGTCTGGCTGTCCGTGATGTTGTTGGGAATCCGTCAGAGGATCACGCAGAGCTTTGAAGTGTGCCGCAGGCTCCGGTAGGCGTGTAGACGCTCCTTCTTGGGGTCGGCGGGAACACGCGTGACGACGGGCATGCTTTCCATGGCTCGCCGGCGGTGCGCACGGTGCAGCAGGATGCGGTAGATGCCGGTGATTGAGCTGCGACAGTCCTTGCCCTGGTTATTGCGGATGTGCTCCGTCGTGATGCCCAGTGCCTCCAGTGTGGCCTTCACCTCCAGTTCGTCCTCCTCCAGCTCACTGGGCTCCGACTCCGCCAGATGCAGGGGGTTCAGCTGGAAGGGTTCCATGGCCCTGGGGAAGTCCACTGGCAGAAGCCACTCGCAGCCCATCATCTGATCCACGCCCCAGCGTTCTGAGGGTTGCGGCTGCAAGATGCCGCGGATGAGCTGCTGGAACGGCTCGGGCACCCAGGGCGGGATGGTGTAGGCGCCCTCCAGGATGCAGCGCTTCAGTTTGGCCACTGTGTCGGCGCGAAACGGCATGGTGCCCGTCACAATGAAGAAGAGCAGGACGCCCAGTGCCCACACGTCCACATAAATGCCCACGTAGTGCTCGTCACGGAAGAGCTCTGGCGCAGCGTAAGGAGGCGAGCCGCAGAACGTGTTCAGGGTCTCGTCCCGCCGGCTGATGGTGCTGAAGCCAAAGTCGCCCACCTTGACGCATGTGCTGCAGGTGTAGAACACGTTCTCTGCCTTAAGGTCCCGGTGGATGATGTTGTTGTCATGCTAGGAAAAGATACAGACAGATTTATTCACCATTAAAAGTATAAAAAGTACACTTGTGCATGTCATATACACGTAACTACATAATAGGCCTACATACGATTAATGACTTGTTTACATTGTGATAATTAAGTCTTCTTGGACAAACATTTCTTTACTCATCTCATCAATAAATTAGAACACATTCTCAGTGGGTAGAAATGTTCAGGAATACAGAGAGGAAAGGCGTAATCCCTGGCAAAGGAATGATGAATCATGGAGAAATCGGAATGCAAAGAACATGAAGTACATCCTGTTTGAGCAATCGGGGGGGTATCAGCAAAACACTCCGCTTGAAAATGAAAGCATGTGCCCTTTGGTAGAAGCCTGCATTTCACTATTCACATGCAATCCAGCGTGTCGGAATATCACACATGGTTTCATGCAGAATTGTATAAAAGTCTAACAGGTCTAAAGTGAATATTATATAAAGTACTGCTGTGCGCTAACAGCAAGGACTGTGAGGCACCACCCACTTTGGTGCGTGCTGAGCCACGGCAAGCACCCTGTGCCTCTGTGACTAATAATCTTGGTAGCATCACACATGGATGCTATAAATATGCCAATTAGTTATCTGCTTTATTGATAGTTTGTGTTAATCAGGGAAATGGAGGAAGACCAGCTCATGCCAACGAATAAGAAGATTTCCATCTTGTACTTGGATTTATTAGGGAAATTGCCTGTAGGACAGGAATCTACAATGAGACCACATATTAGGTCTCGATTTGCTGAATATCATCAATACAACCGATCTGAATATAAAAATATGTGCGTGTTTGAGTTTGTCACTGTTCCATTTAACCAGCACTTGTGAAAAGACATACAGTTGTGCCTGTGGTTCACGAACGCTGTTGCTTACGAACAGTTTGGTTCGTGACCCAAAATTTTGTGAAAAAATGCATTGGTTCACATACAAAATTTGGTTGACGAACAGATTAATATAAAAAAGGAATCTGATCAGTGTCGCACCGGTGTTCTGTCGAGTTTAGCTACTTTGTCGAGTTAGGCTACCGTAGTGCTAATCAATAGCCCTAACCCTAACCCCAAAAACCCCCCTAAAACCTAACCCTAATCCCAAGACGGTGGAACTGCACATGCACAGAAAGGCTCGATAGCACGTCTCAATAGGTTGCGTTTCCCTATTGTCACGCGTGTGTTTGCCCGTGTCTTGTGTGTACCCGGTCCGATCCTCTCGTGTATTTAGCATATGTAAATCTTCCACCGTGTGTGCATCTTGCAGTTCAGCATCTGACAACCTTGTGTTTCCCGTCTGTGTATTTGGGTTGGGTGCCTGTCGTGGTTCTTCTATTTACAACTGCACGCGGGGCATGCTGGGACAAACATTATTTGGAAGGCTTGTGAACGAATTAATCAAATTTCTTATGGGGAAAATTGCCTTGGTTTGCATACAAACTGGTTCATGACCACTTTCCTGGAACGGATTGTGTTCGTGAACAGGAGGCACCACTCCATTAGGAAAATTTTTAGATTTTGAGTTTATCATTAAACTTTGCAGGCTCTCCATTTTTGTACTGGTATTACAATACTTATACAGAATAACCTCACTTTAATATGGGGCAGCAGGTACTTGGAAGGTTGTAACTTCTGTTGTACATTCTGTTGTAACTCTTTAAAGACTCATCTTTTAATGAACACAATTTCACATGTGGATTTCTAGATAGATCTAAAAATAAGGTGAAAGCTAAACTTCTTCAAAACAAAACAAATGTGATTGCACACCAAACTGCTGTCAGGCTTGCTTCACACACCAGACTCAACAAAGTGTGAATTATGTCTAACATTTAAACATACACACAACAAAAAAAGAAAAAAAAAAAAAAAGTATCAGCGAACTTCGGAAGCAGGGGTGCAGAATGTACAGAAGCTGAAGGACATTCTAACCATGTGCTTCACTGCAGACAGGATCTGGGAGAAGACTATCTTGCTGTCCGTGTCGGACAGCTTCCCGTCCAGGCTGATCTTGGTGTAGAGCTCCCCTCCCGGGGCGTACTCCATGACCAGATGCAGGCGGGAGAGCGTCTCCACCACCTCGTACAGCCGGATGATGTTGGGGTGATGCAGCCTCTCCATGCTGGAGATCTCCCGGGACAGCAGCCGCTGCGTCTTCTGGTCCAGTTTGGTCTTGTCCAGGATCTTTATCGCCACTTTGTCTGGAAGCGAGAGACAGAGTCCCAGATGGTTTAGCTACATGGAAGAAAGTCCTCAGTCATCTTTTCCATCACAACTTTTATAACAAACAAGTCTATGTATAGTTGTGTTCAGAATAATTGCAGTGAATAAAGCTGAAAATCCTTAACAGTTTTTATTTCCATACATGCAAATGCATTGGGAATACTACAAATTCTATTCCAAATCAAAACAAGAACAGAAATTCATCACATTTGTGTTATTCCTTTATAGAATGTGAAGGAAAGGGAATATTAGGCTGTTCAAAAAAATAGCAGTGTCCACAATCTTCTTTACAAACTCAAAGATTCACTGTATGAACTGAAAAATATTTTAAGATTTTGCTTTCCTTTGAATCATTGAACTAATATTTAATTGTATAACAACTGTTTCTGAGAAATGCTGCACATCTGTGTTGTATGGAGTCGACCAACTTCTGGCACCTGTGAACAGGTATTCCATCCCACGATGACTGGACTACATTTCTTGGTTTTGCCTCAGAAACAGCATTTTTGATGTCACCCCACAAGTTTTCTATTGGATTAAGGTCCGAGGATTGGGCTGGCCACTCCATAACATCAATCTTCTTGGTCTGGAACCAAGATGTTGCGTGTTTACTGGTGTGTTTGGGGTCGTTATCTTGTTGAAACACCCATTTCAGGGGCATTTCCTCTTCAGCATAAGGCAACATGACCTCTTCAAGTATTTTGAGGTATTCAAACTGATCCATGATCCCTGGTATGTGATAAATAGGCCCGCCACCGTAGTATGAGAAACATCCCCATAACATGATGCTTGCACCACCATGCTTCACTGTCTTCACATTCAGTGTTTGGGGGTCATTTGACAAACTGTCTGGGGCCCCTAGACCCAAAAAGAACAATCTTGCTTCCACCAGTCCACAAAATGTTGCGGCATTTCTCTTTAGGCCAGTCAATGTGTTCTTTGGCAAATTGAAACCTCTTCAGCACGTGTCTTTTTTCAGCAATGGGACTTTGTGGGGGCTTCTTGCCAATAGCTTGGCTTCACATAGGCATCATCTGATTGTAACAGTACTCACAGGTAACTTTAGACCTTCTTTGATCTTCCTGGAGATGATCATTGGCTGAGTCTTTGCCATTTTGGCTATTCTTCGATCCATTCGAATGGTAGTTTTTCGTTTTCTTCCACGTCTTTTAGGTTTTGGTTGCCATTTTAAAGCATTTGTGATCATTTTAGCTGAGCAGCCTATCATTTTCTGCACTTCTTTATATGTTTTCCCCTCTCCAATCAACTTTTTAATCAAGGTACGCTGTTCTTCTGAACAATGTCTGGAATGACCCATTTTACTCAGAATTTCAGAGAGAAATGCACTATAACCAGCATGTACAACATTTGCTGCCTTCCTTCCTTAAATAAGGCCCATAATTGGCACCTACTTTTTCACAGAATAACCTCACGAATTGAACTTCACACTGCTATTATTTTGAACACGCCCCTTTCAAGTAATGATTCTGTTACACATAATCAGCAGCATGCATGTCATGACTGTTGGGTCTGTTGGTTTTCCATTACTCTACTACACCTACTAGTAAATTATTTGCCATGTAGAAATATAATTTCTACCAAAAACGGTGATTGATCAGGTTAGTGATGTCGGACTGCTATTATTTGGAACACAACTGTACGTCATGCTATTTATAAGCAACTCAATTTACTAAAGCCATTCTTTTGCTCCAGTAGTTCAAAGGTCCAAAATTATTGGCATATCTCCTGTATTACATGGATAATGACAGAATATTATATGGTAAAATGGGGTTTCCTGTTGTGTATCATTCAGAATAATGGTCTTGTTCATATATGTTTTCATCATTACACCAATGTAACCCACTGGATATTTTGGGTGCCTCACTGCCAGAAGGTGGTCAGCTTGGTGTGACAGACAATAAATCTCTGCTTATTAGGTTCATGGTGGATTCCAGCATATCTGTTATTTTTTGTGCAGAAAATCCTAAGCAAACATTACTGCAAAACACGTCAAGGCATCAGGCATACTGGAGTCTCACAGCAAGGACCAGCCATACCAGCTTCTTAACGTTTTATACAAGCATTTACAATTTGCTATACAGTTTTTAAAATATTGAATTGTCAAGTTAAAGAATAACCTCAATTAGAATGTTAATGTGTTGATACACACTGAATAAACATTTTAATGATGTTAATCATTTGAGGTGAAAGTCCACTCATCCTTTAAACCCTAACCCAGTTCAGGGTCACAGGGCATCCCAAGCCTGTCCTATGTAACACGGCAAAAGGAAGGGCAACATGCCCTCCCCACCCCACCCTACCCTACCCAGGTTTGTAATTGTATCTTTGTGGGGACTCCATTCATTTCCATGGGGAAAACTCTAATCCCAACATGACGACTTTAACCCCTACCCAGCCCTAACCATAACCATAAGTACCCAAACTACATACGACACATTTGGCATTTTTTGTGTTTTGATTGCATTCGCAGGTTTTTATAAAATTAAGGTTACAGCACAATGTGTGTGAGGTCTTTTCAAGTTCTCCAAAAGTTAGAAAAGCAGTTATCTTGGGGTAAAAATGGTTGTGGGAAATCGCAGTGACAGGGTACATTCAGTGTGTCAATGTTCTTTTTACTAAATGTATCCTATATATCTGATTATTAAGGCTTCTTTTATGGAGGAAAACAACCAGGAATCCACGAAAAGTACAAATCAAGCAGGAAAACACAGTGCTCTGCTGAATTAAAAATGTCATGTTAGGGTCAGTCCTCAGTTTGGCCCGATTTCACGGGAGCGGCAGAAACACGAGGCGCTCTTCAGGCTGTATGAAGCAAATGATGCAGTGCTTATCTCTTTCAGCTCTACTGAAGCGTGCAGTAATTCCATCCCTCTCCAAAAGTCATACAGCTCCTCTGTTCAAGCCATCTCATTGCCCTGTTTAACTCTGCTCTCTCCCATTATAACTAGGTTACCTTATCGGGAAAGTTCATTGCAGGCAAGTGATTAGCAATTCAGACATACAAGGCCCTGAACAGGGAGCATTTGAAGTGCAATCTGACCAAGGGTCCCGGGGCTAATGTTCCCCTATTTGTGTTTGTCTTAAGCCAATAAAGCCTCAGTTAACAAAACCCAGCTGGTTCTCACTGGACTAACTGCATTGGAGGGATGAAGAGGGTCATCTGTGGGCAGGTGGGGAGGCAGGAGCAGCCTGTGATGGAGGGTCAGCTGGCTGCCTGCCAATAGGTATTACATGTTCCAGCTGGTTTATTAGCTTTTTTGTAGGTTTGTTTAGTAGTAGTAATAATAATAATAATAATAATAATAATAATAATAATAATAGATACTTTATTGATTCCCCTGGGGAAATTGTCTTTACGCCTCCCTCAACTTGCTCTTTTTCGTAGAGTAAGTTGTCCGCGAAGGGCAGCCACCCATAGTGCCGTCCAGGGAGCTGGGGGTTAAGGGCCTTGCTCAAGGACCCGCAGACGTGCTGAGGCTGGGTTTGAACCGGCGACCTTCTGATTACAGGCACACAGGCTTAGCCCACTGCAGCAGCAGCTTTATGTTTAAGTAATTTCTAAATTCACAACTCAATTTTGTGTTTGATTGAATTTTTTTTTTTTTCCCCCCCCTTTGGCAAACTTGCTCACCGACCTTCGACCCTCCATCCATCCACAGAAGAGAGCTGAGACCATTTGAATGTCTAAATATACGAATATTTACAGTTCCATGAGTTACATTAAAATGAATGCTTACTTCATAATATGGCTATCATGGCAGACTGTAAAGGTCACTCATTATATTTGAATTTAATGTATTTGTTTCATTTCAGTAGCACATCGCACCTTTGGTGAGGGCGTGGATGCCCAGCTTGACATGAGAGAAGTTCCCGCAGCCGATCTCACCGCGGACCTTGTAGAAGCCGATGCGGCGGCCCACCGTCAGCTCACGCACCACCCTGTCATCCTGGCACATGTCCAGGTTGAGCTTCTCCAGGGGCGTGAGTCGCCGCGGCGGGCCGCCCTCATCATCCGTGCAGATGTCGGAGCTGTCCTGGTGGCTCCAGCGGGCGTAGCGCTGGGTCCCGCCACCAGAGTCGGGCGCCATGCTCGGACACACGGCTGCCATCTGGGAGCCTCGGGGACGGTCCACTCACGGCCGGTGAGCTGGGTGCCTCGGGTCACCTGAGGTCACACGCATGTACAGACATTACTTCCTGCTCCGGAATTTATATACACACACGTTTGTAATTATATCTTAGTGGGGACTCTCCATTCATTTCTATGGGGAAAACTCTAACCCCAACATGGCGACCTTAAACTGCAGGCTCAGAGCAACCAGCAATGGAAGTCATTGGCTTGGCTTAAACTCGATTTAAACTGCAGCTAAGCTAATGACAGAACAATTGCAGTGATTTCCTTTTCTCTCTACCTGCCTCTGCATATGAATGTGTGTGTGTAATAAGTTTATATTACATTGTGAGGACCAACTGTTCCCCACAATGTGATAAAAACCTGCTATTTTGACGTGGGGACCACTCAGATTCCCAAGACCTGTGAATGCAATCAAAAAACTAAAAATGCTAGAAATCTTGTATTTTGTTTGGTTAGGGTTAGGGTTAGGTAGGGGTTAATGCTGCTAGAGGTCACGGTTTCTGCGATTTATCTCAAATCTGCTTTGGATATGGATTAGCTGCGGTTTCAGGACAGATGGACACAGTTGAAACACGCTGCCAAATCGGATGTTATTGACAGGCTATTTAATACTTTGAAATCTGTCACACTGTAGGCAATTTTGCCATTTATGGAGCCTTCGTGTAACCTTGAGCTAAAGGCAAGAGTACTTACACAGGCTAAGCTTGCTTACGCCACATTTAATCTTAAGGCACCTGGCTTAAATTATGAAGCCAGGGAGGGTTATAATTCGTGCTTATCCTATTTTTTAAGTATCGTAAAAATGACGACGGCCTACGCCATGATAAAAACAGCACGGCAGTGCTTGTTCTTCCTTCACAGACCACAACAATCTGGCACATCACCCCACATCCTCAGATACACAAGAAGATGCATGAAGTAGGCCAGATCCATCCTGAAGGACCCCTCCCAAACACCAAAGGTTTTCACTCCTGCCGCATATGTGCAATGGAGCTGAGACAAACAGACCCCGCAACAATGTCTTCTCACAAGCAGTGAGGCTACTGAATAAGTAATCAGGCAATTAGTGTGGAATTTGCACATTTGCATTTTATGTATTTTTAAATATAAAATGTTAATATTTTCATATTTCTATTTACCGTTTTACTTATTTCTCTTATACGTTGGTTGCACTGTTGAGGCGACACAGTGATTAGCGCTGTTGCCTCACACCCCTGGGACCAGGGTTTGAGTCTCTGCTGTGGCACCATGTGTGTGTGGAGTTTGCATGTTCTCCCCGTGTCATTGTGGGGTTTCCTCTGCATACTCCAGTATTCCCCCACAGTCCAAAAACACGCGGAGGTTAATTGTAGGTACCAAACTAGCCACAGGTGTGAGTGTGCCCTGTGATGGGTTGGTGCCCCATCTTGGGTTGGTGCCCCATCTTGGGTTGTTCCCTGCCTTTTGTTCACAGTCTAACCCAACCCTAAGTAGGACAAGCAGTTTAAGGAAATGGAAGCTTGCTGTACATTTGATGACTAAACTTTGATATCTTTTAAAATGACCTTTAATGCAACCTGGCATTGCCACAGAAGTCTACAAAAAGATACCTTTCAATTATAAAATACATCTTTTTAAGAGAAACTTCATTTCCAGTTAAATTCTTGCACCCCTTGTCACAGATTCTGCTGTTACTGAGGTAATGCTTCATTTAGCTGTAACTAGGGGTGCACCGATTGCAGTTTTCTGGCCGATCAACGATCACCGATCCTTAGGCAACCTTACCTGCTGATCTCGATTTTTTTTTTGCCGATCTTGTTTCTTTCATAACTAAAAGACAGTTACTTCAATGTTTCCATTTTTATTGAGTAAATTGATATGAATACTCACAAAACATGAGATAGTGTCCTCAAATATAAACGAACATATAAATGAGCATTGCTGTTTGAACTACAAAATCATATTTTTTCTTCCAGACTTTAATTTCTCTAATTTTGTAAAAAAAAAATATATATATATATAGCTGTTATGACACACTTGTCCAAAAAATAGGGAGGGAGGCAGCCTGCACTGCACCTCTCTCGGGAATGGGAGAAAAGGCTGATTTAACCCTCTGGGGCCTAGGGGTAGGAAACACACTTTCACTGACTGGGGCATGATCACACATTTCATCACACTTAATTCATGGCAAATAAATTATTTCTTATATATTTGTTTTGCCATTACACTCATCTTTATTTTAATATATATTGTAAATATGTCAGATTTTTGTTAAGTTTGAAATTTGACATCAAAGTATAGACATTGCAAAATGCAGTTTGGAACACTTGCAGAAACATTATAAAAGTACATAGTAAGCAATGCTGGCAGTGTGTTTTGATCCCAGATATCTGATCACCAAAGTCTTGGCTACATGAAGATGACTAAATGGTGTAGATGCAACATTAATTTGGATAAATAAATAAGAAAAACCTAACTCATGTAACTATTTCTGGCTCCTTTCATTGAATATGTAGCAACTTTCATGTGTATGAATGAGCCATTGTCACCTGGCCACGTCCCCAACCCCCTTTTATGGCGCTGAAGGGGATGTATCTGGATCGCGTTTCACCGTTGCGCTGTTAATCAAATTACCATGCGAATGCGATTTGAATACGCGCTAATGCGGCTATTTAGAATGTGAATAGCGATCTTCGGGTGAGAGCGGTACTACACGCCCCCGATGTAGGTAAAACAAAGTAAGATGACATGGTTTACTTTTTTGCCGATTTAACCTAATTTTTAAAACTTTAATACTTCCGACAATGGACGTTTTGAAAAGAAGACAGATTACGGATTTAGCCAGCGTTTTTTTCATGATTATACATTAAGTTTTCAGCGAGATATTTATAAACTGAAATAGACGCGAAAAGTACGCGATGTCGTCGACGACATACTCGACCCCAAAGAGTTAAAAGCATATAACTAAGATCGGTGGATCTCATGGGGATATGGTCGAGTTCTGATCCCCTCAAATTAACGTGATCGAGGCCGATCGATCGGTGCGCCGATCGATCGGTGCACCCCTAGCTGTAACACATACTGCTTACCAAGCAGCCCTTTCCCAGAGGGCCTCACCATAACGTGGTCCTGCCACGCAGGGTGGCGTCACTCGCAATTTTCTCATTGACGTCGGAAATCTGTTCATCTCAGGGTTTCGGTGGAGCAGCTCCTACTTGGCCGAGTCCATGGTCACCTGGCAACCACGCAAGCTTGTCCAGACCCGAACACGGGACCGTCACCTGTGCTGCCGTCCTTAGTATTCCACCACAAACATCGGTTCTCCAATCCAGCTTGGTGGTATCAGCCGCCTTAAATGCAGTTACTTTTTCTCTTTCCTTCTTGTTCAGCCATGTTCTTCAACATCTGCTTATAAGCCACATGTATCCAAAGTGAGTCGCATTGATTCTGCTGTTATTCATTTATGGACTCAAACATTCGTAGAAGTACGTCAGGCTGTGGAAATTAGTGAAGGCTACAAGAATTGGGGTCCCCTTTGATCCAAGACTGAAATGACACATGGACTAAAGAAGCTCTCACTGAGAGTTTGTGATCACCACCGTGTTGCCGTCACAAAGTCCCAGAAGCTATGGTGGGAATGTCCGTGTTTCTTTGAAGTCTCCTTCTTATGACCCCCCCACCAAAGTTGGCATTAGAGGATGTGGTGACGATCGATCCTAATTCTGCTTTCATTTAACACGCTAGTAAATTCCCGCTCCACTTCCTCGGGAATCCACACTCACCTACGGGAGAGAAGACAAAACTGAAAATGAGAACATTAAGTCACTGGTCTGGTGTTTCAGACGTCTGTTGTTGAGTCTCTAGAACCATCTACGCTGGTGAGGTCTTTAATAAAGGTTTTAACCTAAAACAATAAACCTGTGTGTGCTGCACATGCACGTACATACCATTAAAAGACGTTCTTTACATGGGGAGCTTTGGAGGTGGTTACTGTTTGTTACTCGTAGGGGAGGAGCTAATGAACCACCTGGGGAGGTAGGGAAAGGAGACGAGGGAGAGGAGGAGGTAAAACAGGTGGTGACAGAACTTCTCTAGTACACAACACCCCAACAGTGCTGCTTAGTGACTGAAATCCCTGAACATACATCCTGGATTTCCCTTAAGGAGTTTCCTCGTTTAATGCCTACACTGGGGTTATTCGAGGTCATGGTGCTCTGTGTTACGTGATGTGGGAGGGCACAATCATATAATTACTTACGTTTCTTTTCCAGAACATACCTTTTGTTATTCTGTGATTGTGTAACTGGAAGGGGATTTTCTTGAAAAGGGACTTTGGCTCTCTGTTAGAACATACGCGCTTTTCAAATATCATACCGTCTTAAACCATTACTGGGATAAGTGTGCAAGCACTGCTCTGAAAATAGAATACATAAAAACATTTTTATTGGAATATTTCTCATTCCGTTTCATATCTCTTCCTGGGTGTATCGCTGCCTTGTGCCCTATATTGCCTGGAGTTTGCTCCAGGCCCACCCGTGATAAGCGGCAGTTGGAAGATGCTGGATGGATGGATGGACTATTTTCACTAGTTTGTAATAGTGTCAAGAGACGCATTAACAGAGAGACTGAATCCTCTTCATGCAGGGATGATCTGTAAGGCAAAGTAAGAGGATCACTAAAGACTGACGTCCCAAAGCCGTGTGCAGCCACATTAGAGGGGACAAAGGGGAAGGGGGGCACAGAAAAACGAGGCCCATCGGTCGTTGCGGTGAACGTGTACCAAGCTCCCCCCCCAGCCAAGTTTCTCAGGGGTGGGGCCGGACGCCGGCAAGGCTTTTTGCGAGCACTCCGGTGCCTTCAAAGGGTCCCGCACACGTCCAGGTCTGCGGCCCGGCTTGAATATGTCACCATTGATCTCCGCAGCTGAAAAGCGCTGTTCGGGAGGACCGAGGCCATGGCTTTGCACCACAAAGAGAGCCGGCCCCATCAATTAGCCCCCCGCACATGTGCGGAGCTCCAGGGCAGGTGTGCACACGCCATCTCTCCCTTCCTGTCCCTTTTGTGGTTCCTTTTAAAACGGCCGACAGATCAACTCGGCGGCAATTAACCCTCCGATGCATCTCTTTGTGCGTCACTTCCAAGCACAAGCAGTGACTCTGATCATGGTGTGCGGTGGACAGTATCCAAACCTGCCTGGTAACAGGCCACAATCAATCAAAGAATTTTATCGATCACCTTCTCAGGTACTGACGTGCGCCAACCATTAAAAGGACAGTAATTCAATCACACACTCTATAAAAGTATGTCTTTGACTTTTTGAAAATGGATTAAAACAACCACAAATCGTAAAAGTATCTCCACAAAACTACTGCAGTTTGATTTGGGAAAGTCTTTGTCACAATTCTTAGAGATGCACCAACTGAATCAGCCAACGATCAGAATCGGTTGATATAGGAACAAAATCGGCCATTGTTAAAAATTAGCTGATTTTTATCACTGATAATTCCCTTTAAAATGGTGACACATATTGCTTTGCACACCCATGTACTAAAGAGTTACAAAAATTTCTGCTGGGGGGAATTATTTTAACATTGAGTACTTTGCAAACATTGTTTTGCAAAAATTTCATGAGGATCTACAACTAAACATTTCAACAACAAATTTGATTTCTCACCTTTAGATGAGACAGGGAAGAGTAGAAAGGGTTTCTGAAACACAAACCCATTCCTATAAAGGCGGCGGCAGTACTGGGGAATAACGCTGGCCTCCAATAACGTAAGCATTTAATAGCAAAAGAAAATTCAGTGCAGACAGTGCAAATCAAGAGATAAGAGTAAAATCACAATTGCTGATTGGCCTTTCTGTGTTGTTGTATGCCAGAGTTGGTGTTTACTTACCAAAACATAAATACATTTTTCCTATTTTACAAAAGGAAATGTATTTATTTATTTGGGTGGAGTGCCCATTTAAACTCATTTAAGCAGAACCTCCTGAACAATCGATATCGGTATCAGTTTTTCAAATAAATCGGCTATCTGTATCGGTCTAATAATTCGACGATTTCTTGGCAATATAAGTTATGATTATGAACTACTGTCAAATATTTGTTAAAGGAAACATTGTTAAATGCAACATTGCTTTCACTTAGTGGAGCTGCATGATGTACCTGATTCAATGAAATGTCAACAGTACAATGCTAATTGCAGAGCTGCTGGACATGACGTGTAAAGTAAGATCAGGCGTCTACAGAACTGCCTACAGGTTGCACAACAGGAATCGGTCCAGCTGGCAGGAGGTGGCCCTGCTGCATTTCCTCGCGAAAGAAGATGGAAAATATCTCCGAAAAGCAGCACTAGAATCATTAAGAAAATTTGTAATCACACAACCTCAATTAAACTACCAATGACAATAATAAAACTGGTCAACATGACCTTGCCCATCCCAAAAATTCCAGCTAAGCAGTGCCACAGCAGGTCATACCAGCAGTCGGCTCAGCTTACAGATTTATTTTTTGGTTTATTTAGCAGTGAGTGTCAGATAAATGTGAGCACAATACCACAATTAATGCTGAAAGACGAGACGTGGCCATCATCTGATACACGGCCTCCGCTCACCCATACGGGGACTGCCAGCTGTGACTGAGCTGCGCAGGCGGGAAGGCCAGTGCCGTAGCGTGGCAGTGCCAACTCCGCCGTGCTGGCACTAAAAGCAGAGCCTCTGTCCACCACCTCGCTGGCTCTGCTGCTGCCTCCATTGACCAAGAAAATTAAAAATGACAAGGACAGCCAGTGTCCCAAAGCGGGGACACTCTCAAGCTCTGCTCATCTCCAGCCGGCTCCACTTTAATATTCCCAGCATGTGAAAGCCCCCCCCCGGGACACAGGCAGGGGTGCTGGGGGGCTGACGGCTCTCGGCACATCAATGGAAGCATCTGGAGGGCAAATTCATGCTCTCTCTCCACATCCCTTTCTCACCCAGGCAGCTGAAGAAGTGGCCGTGATGATTGATTAATTATGAACCAGCCCCCCCCTTAGATTCAGAGCAGAAGCCTCTTCCATTCGTTTGGATGTGGATGGATGGCAGCAGACAATGAAGTCCAGCCACTGTAAGATGAGCTTGGAGAGAAAAGTCCACCTCCACGCACCATGCTAACGGGGGGGGTGGCTACAGGGACTGCTTCTGATAAATGCATTTTTTAACGTCAAGGAGGAATATGCTTTAAACTGCAGCGTAATCTCAAAGTAGTTCAGGGGCACACATTCCTTTTTTCTTTAAAACGCTGATGACAGCATTAATACTGAAGTCCGTCTATTGTTTCACCAACGTTTACATTGAAATACACATTTAAAGCTCATTTCAGCAGCCCAAGAATTGTAACATGGCTGTGACAATCAAGAGGAATGCGAGGACAGAAAGATAAAATCTCTTAATGAACTACTGATTTGATTAACATATGTCACCCAGACAAGTTTAACAACATTCCTGGCATTCATGGTACATGTATCCCTGAACGTCCAGCTCATCTGCATCAACCTTGTGGACGCAGGTAGATACTGAACACAAAAGCACATGCAAATTCACACATACAAAATCCTACTTACTATTGCACAATTCGGCAGAACAGAAAATAATTACAAAATGTAAAGCTAACATAAAAACCATATAAAAATCAAGGAATTTGGGAGATAACGGATTTTCTTTTGTATTTTTTTTCTTTAATAAAATGCCACAGCACGACAGCAAGTACATGTTGATCTGTTGTCACCAGTCTACTAAGGTATTAGAATTAGACCTCAGAGGCTTGCAGACCTCGGATGATGTCTAAGCGAATCAGACGGGCATATGAAAGCACACGTCGCTGTTTTCATCAAAGCCCCAGGGTTCCCGCCAAGTCGTGTATTTGCTCAGAGGCGGCTCTCAGAGACAGCTGGTCAAGCCAACCGCAGAAATAAAACAGACTGACTGCAGAGCAGCTCGTTACATGTGACTAATCCTACCCCTGCCATCCACTCAGTTGGGATCGTCGGCAGAGCTGCTGAGATCTCATTTGCAGCCCTCGCCTCCTCAGAGCCCAATGCACCAATTGTGGTGACATTAACACCATGATACAAGTCATCACTGTGAAAACACCCTGTCCCTTTAAGAGTCAGCAAGTGTGGACAGGAGAGATTAAAGGGGGGGGGGGGGGTCACTTAAGGCATTTGTGTTGGGGCCAAAACATACAGATAGTCAATAGTGGGGTTGCCAATGCAGTCACAACTTTAATTTTCAAAGCTTTGTGGAATCGTTCCCCAAGTTTGATGTTTGGACTATCCTACATTGACTGAATGCAGTGACAGCTTTCACAGTGCAATTAAATGCCAGATCCCTGCCTTAATTAAACATAGTCCTCTTCACTCCCAAGCAAAGAAGCTTTACTATTTGTCATGAGCCATACAGCTTTGCTTCTATAAAGAAAACAGCATCCAAGGCAGACAAATGAGCCTTTGACTCTACAAGACACCAAAACCTATACATTCTCTTCAGAAATATGCTGATCTAAATCTTCCGTCAGGATTGTAATTTTACAATAAGCAAAAAGACTAGTTGTGCTATAGTAAAAGGTGGATTATCCAAAAACGCTGCACTGTTTTTGCAACAAACTGGCAGCCGATTTCTTTTTTTGCCCATTCAAATTACATAGGAAACGATCTATGCCAACATACAATATACAGAACCACAAAGAAAATCATCATATCGAACCTAAGTGAAACTAAAGTAGCCCATCTGTTACTTTTCCAACTACTTAGCCATATCAAACTTTTTGACCAACTGCAAGGCCAGTGTGATCAGGGCAACATGAGAAGGGCCATCTCCGCTACAATTCACTTCATGTTTTATTTACTTCGTGTTTGTTCTCATGCAGCATATGGCTCTGTGGGTTAGGAATTTGTGTCCGTTCTCTGGCTCAAAACCCACGGCACCTTTGAGGCTTTGAGCAAAGCCCTTAACACCACTTGCTCCAGGGACTGGCTGACCTTGCTCTCTGCTCCTCACTTTCATGTCGTTTGGAGAAAAGTGTCCAATACATAAGTAGACATTTATGAAGATCTGAAGGGTTTAGTTGAGTTTCACATTAATTTGATGCATGACTTGTTTCATTTAGCATGGTCTTTGATTCCTTCATTCCCAGGAAGAAAAAAGTATTTACAATACTCTAAAAGCATTCATTTGATATCCTAAGTTGCCACAAACCCTGGTTGTGATCTGACAGTGCAACCAGTGACGGCAGTACAGTGAATGTTAACCAGCCTCTAAGACCACATCTATAGAGGGGAGATGATGTCATTAGATTATGTCATTAGCAAGCATCATATCAAGTCCTGCCCTGGTCCAAAAGTAACACCTTCCAGTGCAGCTTTCACTGGATGCAGCCCCCAGCAGAAGATTTAAAAACATCAACAATCATCAAAACATGTTTCTATTACCTCACATCAGTTCACACAAGTTTCCATCATCCACTGAACCACAATAATGGCAAAAGATCTGGTTCCCAACCAATCCTTTCCAACTGTAAAATTTTGTGAACATGGGATTAGTAACATTTGTTTTGGTTAAATTACTTTATTATGATTTTTCTAAGGAAACACAAACTATTTCAACCATGCAAAGATACAGCAACGTTATCTGGCCCTGGTAGAAACAGAGCTTCACAGAATGGAGACTGAGGCCAGAAGCATCGGAGTCCTGGGAAGCTGGGAGGGACGCAACTGACGAGAAGGTTCTGGTCTGAAACTAAACCCATGACAGGAAGCCACACTTTCCAAATGGCCAATGGAAATTTCCATGTGTGCAAGAACTTGTGAATGCTGCTAAAAATAAACTTTTTAATAATATAAATATATAAATAATAGTTCACAGGCTAATTATCCTGAGATATAAAAATAATTTATTCTTGACATTGTCATATATGTATGCATACCATACTTCTAAGAATGCTTTTTAAAATGTCATGATATCTGTAGAAACACCTGAAACTTGCATGCATTTTGACGTTTCATGCATCTTGCAGATGCTACGTGATGCTTAAGGATTAGCACTGCCAGCTCTCAGCTCCAGGGCTAAGGTCTGACCCCAGCCTCAGGCCCCCCATGTTTGCACAGGTTTCTTCCAAGCACACCTGTTTCCACCCACAGACCAAAAACATGCAGCTAGAAGAAATGGTGGCTATTAATTTCCCTTAATACGCGCCCCGTGATGTACTGGAACCCCAACCAGGGTGTTCCCAACCCTAAACCCCATGTTCCTGGGATAGGCTCCAAGTTCACCACAACCCTGTGCTGGATAAGCAGCTAAGGGTTCCATAAATACACGCACACATTATACAACGAGTACTTCCAGTAACTGCTTGTCCAGCCGAGGCTGCATTGATTCAATGCCTTCACATGGAAAAAAAGGGAAAATACTTTACTAACCAACTGCATTTATACACTGATATGAAACACATTCATACATTGATCTGTAATAGGGAAATAACCAGTGGCCGAAGCTGGATGCCTTGCTTAGGCAGATAACTTTTATTTAAGGTAGTCTGGGTTAAACGTAAGTGAACAAAGACAATGTCCGTTTAAAACTAGGGTTTTAACTACCTGAAATCCAATAAATTATGTGACCAAGAAGAAGAAATTCAGCTTCATGATACAGGCCCCAGTTCTCCACTTATTTCACATGTAGTCAGCAAACAGCATGCCAAGAATGTTGCTGACACACACACACACACACACACACACACACACACACCGGAACAAATGTGTGATTTTAGGATTTACTAATGTTCTCAGCAATCAAACTTTATTTACTTTACCTGCTAAAACATGTCATCAGATTTACAGTTAGCCAAACTAAATTTAGCGGACTGGTCCGCTAATGGTTTTCAAAGTCAGCATGAACATAAGAACATGAATGCTAATCTGCTAACGAAAAGGTTATCTTTGCTAATTGGCAGGTAGCGGACTAGCGGAACCCTGCTCTCCAGTGGAAGAGGGAAAAAGCGAACAGGAATTGGTCAAGAAAAAGCTCACGTTTTCTGTATGGAAATATTTTATGTCCCAAAGAGCAAAATAATTTATTTGTCGGCACTGCTTTGTGTCTGCTTGTACAACTCAAGGCACAAAACCAACTTACTTGACAGATTCAGATAATAGATAAAATAGATGACAGATCATTATTATTCAGCTATATAGTTAATTTTCAATTCCTAAATATCGCAAAAACTTCAAATATCGCAATGTGAACTTTTCCCAATATGGTTCAGCCATAAATCATGTAATACGCTGACAAAAAAAAATAAAAATAAAAATATCAATATGTTTATTACATAACATATTCTGTAAGATGATATAGCTAATTGACAGGGTTAACGTTGGTTTTACCACCAACTATTTTGACAAACAGGAATCGTAAAACATAAATTAAGCAGAATGGTTTTAAGTAACAAAGCGAAAGACAGGCTAGGCTTCTCAGAGGATAAATGTCACATATCTATGGCTAAGCTCACACTATTCGCCGAGTCCAACAAACGTGAAATCTTCTTTTAAGATGTATTTGCATTGCAGTTTTTCTGTGTCATGTTTAAGTTCTGCTTTGCAATACTGACAGAGCTTAATTCTCATTCACTCAATCAGCAGTGTTTCCACAGAACTAATGCCTTTGCTCTTTATTTAGATTCTCATGTGCGATGCACCGTCTTCCATCTGCCATACTGCAGAGTAATCGAGAAGGAAAATTTAAAAAGATGCTTTTTAGTAATAATCGAGTTTAATCAGGTAAACATGACAGCTCTAATCTGTAGGTGAAAGTATTTGACTTGTATAAATTAAAACTCAAAATTAATAAAAAAGCAAAACATAAAATAAGCAAATGAAATACACCATGAATAGAATGGCAGTCCATCAGAGGGCATCCATCCACATTTGATTAACCATACAAATGCTATTCCTGTCATCTGTTTTTGGCACTTCAAAGCAGCTCGATATGACGCAGATTCAAAGGAAGATAGCGGACTCACTCTACAGCTCTAATACTTTTCATAAATCCCTGTAAGACCCTTTGTGGGTTAATTAAGCACAAACGGTCCCTTCTTTTAAATCTATTCAGGGCAAATCAAACAAACACTGCTTTCAGCATCTGAATAATTCCTAGCCCTGCAATCAATAAGTTGCAACAATGCCTTGAAATACTGTACTCCATATTTATTTGTTTGATTATTTTTTATGTATCAGATCGGGGGGGGGGGGGGGTGGTTAGAGAGTGATGACACAATGCTAACCCCCCAAAGGCTATGTCACCCCCAGCCCTCAAATGTAAGCCCCAATGGGGTACGGGCCTGGGTGAACCTGGTGCGACTAGCAGACCTCCAATTCATGTTAAACATCAGCAGGGACAAACTCAGCAAGTCCCCTTGCTCCATTTCATGACAGTCAGTGCCTGTCATGGTTACCGCCAAACACCCCCCACTTTCACACCCCCACTCTTCTGTACCGTGACCTCAGTTTAGACCTGTGATCACGTGATTCCTGGTGCACGCCCTTTGTCTAACAGCCCGTTGTTGGTATCATTGTCGTTTTCATTGGAACATGTTCATTTTCATGCATAGGTATCATTCATTTTCAAGCCAGGCTGAGTAACAGCTGGTGGCCACTTGGAACTGCAGCATTCGTCACGGTTGCAGTTTTCGTTCGGATAAAACAGTACTGCGGGGCTGCCAGCGGTGTGGCTTGTATAACAGCTTCAGGTATGTAAAGCACAGGAGCACTTGCATGAAAGGCAGCACCTATATAAATGGACACAAGTGAAACTTGCATGAAAACACATATGTTGATATGTGGTTGCTGGAGGCCTCAAAGACTCCTGGTTTTGCACCTCAACGTTGCCCATAAACGTTACACGATTGATCTGCATTGTTTTTATTGCAACTGTACGGTGACTTTACTGTAATTATTTGACTTTAACAGATAAATTAGTCTGCACCAAAACAGCCAGCCAACCTCTTCTGTTTGGTAAACTGACAATATTGAAGCAGGATTTAAGCTTTCCTCACTGTGCTTCATGCAAGTGAATATAGGTACGGCCGCGATGTGAGGGGGGTAATATCACGAGGTGCAGCGCTGACTATTAAAAACTGATCCTTCAAATCTTACAAACGCAACAATATCATTATGCACATCAAAATGTACATGTCATATACGTTATATATGGTCGACTGGTCAAGCAAAATACATTTTATAACATGAATGTCCCAATTAAACTGAAATTTATCCATACCGTTATAGCGTAAACCTACACTAGTAAATCACGAGGTAGTACGCAGCCATATGCTATTATGTACAATAAATTGTGATAAAAGTTCACGAGCTGAACGTTTCCAATACACCACAGTAATGCTGCTTAACGTAAAATTCATCGGCACTTAGTAGTGTTTTGTGTACGGCATCTAATCATTATGAATGCAAAGATTACTATTAAATCAGTTGCTCCACACTATTCGGAGAACATTATGACGGTAGGCGAAACATACAATCGATGCAATAATAAACCCCATACATGCGAGCGTTAACTATAACATGTGTGCTGTAAAATATACTATAACAATAAGCGTATTATGCAGCTTAATCATCGCATCGCAAATACTGACTCGACAGGTGTTCACCCGGAGCTGTTCAGAGATTTACCTTATATTCGTTTCTAAGACCCAAACATTACATCCGAGCGACCATTTTCCAGGAGAGTGATGCCTGCCGTCCTGATCACCTCGGTCGATGGGATCATGCTGGAAGATTACACACAGCTAGCAAGGCACTGCAAGGCAAGTACATTTTAAATTGACGCTCTCTTACCTTGCTGAGATTTCTGAACGGACAACGCAGGTAAGCATCGGGGAATGGGAATTTAAACTGGTGTCAAGTCCTTTTTTTGCATGAATGAATACGTACAGCAGTCGCGCTTTCAGGATCCCCGAGCAAAAGCGTCCGCGGTGAAGACAGTTCATTGCCGTTAGACGTATGTCGGAGGCTCGCAAAATGACAAGCGCCTCGGCGTATCACGAGCTGAAGGAGGCGGGATTTATAGGCGCATTCAGCCAATAGGAACACCGAATGAGGCGTAAGTTCATGTTTAGGCCATTACTTAATTAAAAACAGATTTAGAACATGTATGAGAATGTTTTTTTTTCTATTCACAGTTATATTTAAAAGAATTAGGTGTTGCTATACAACATATAGCAAAAGGAAAACATCATAAACAACAGTATGAAAAAGATGTTCGTCACTTATCTTGGGGACCAGCAACCGATATGAACGATCATCACATTATTATCAACTTCTTCCCCAAGCGCGAACAGGTGGTATCTTGCTAAAAGAAGGCGGCCCCACATCTCAGACACTAAAACGTCTTAAGAAAATACATGAACAAACAAAATACAAATAAAGACGGCGTAAAAATCTTCAAACATGTAATTCTCTGAAGAAATAATAACCGTATCAAAATAGGTTCTTGATGTGATGTAAAATAGTTATTCCCTCCGTCAGGGGTCAGCATCGTGGCATATCCTGACGGATATTGTGATCAAAAGGCATTTTTTTTTACCACGTATCTTACGCAGTGTATTTTCCTTTATCGCCGACACAGACGCTCCTTGCTGCGATCGAGCACGTTTGCACCTGTATGGACATGGTGACCATCCCGATCCCTGTCATTACTAGACGCTTAATATTTCTTAAAGCCAATAATTGCCATACACCGTGGTCGTATCTGGCGTGACACTCACGCTGTCTGACTCTCACGCTCACGCAAAAAAAACTTATGGCGAATCTATATTCCATTATAAACCTAGAATTATATGTATCAAAAGCGTTAGAATGGTCTGCAAACCCTACAGACTGTTTAAATATCATTTACGGTACAGACTATTAAGGTAATTAAAGGGTTACATACATGTAAATTCGTATGCTGATTTGTCTCGAATTGAAACATCAGGCCAACCAGCTAACCAAAGTTGGAAAGCCCGCATATACTAAAACATGGATTTTTAAAAGTATTATTTTAAAACATTAAACGTGTAAGTGCATTTTCCAGTTCCATCTACTCCAAAAGTCTTACGGAAATAAATGGTAGTAACGCGAATTTATTACACATTTCCATCCATTAAACTATGCACACTGCATTTGGTGCTTAGGCAACTGATCGAGCGTCAGCAGCTGGAATCAGCCCAAGCCGTAGGTTTCAGCCTAGGAATCGGTGCTGGGTTATATTTAATAAGTATGCGACATGCGCCTTCCGCTTGGGTTTCTGATGTGAAGCAGCTATCCAAAGTCCTGTTAATCACATTTTCAGCGATATAAATCAAGGGACCTTATACAATGGAAGAAAACATTGTTTAATATGCTTCAAGTACATTTTTAATTCATAATAGAGTGATTGCAAAATGTGATTAGAATCGAGGTGACACAGCTCACCTCGTCATCAGCTTGAATAAAATAACACCCGACGAGGCTGCGATATCTGTCCCAATTCTTAATATGGTCGATAAGGACGCTTCAGATTTATAATCCGCTAAAACGTAGAAGAAAAAAAGTTTAATGACTTACATCTACTAACTGCACGTTTTTACTGTAGCGCAACTATGCTGTTCTTGTTAGTTTTATTCCAAGAATCATCCAGAAACTCTGCATCAAAGAAATGAATCTTACAGTACTATAAACTTGGGCGGTCCCTCCCTGAGTGTCAACATGCATTATCTGCCTCATATTGATGTCTGACAATTAGGTACCTGAGAAAGATTTTGCCTAAATATTAAAACAGACCATTTCAATTCTACGGGTGTATTAATACGCAAACTCTTGAAAAAAGAAAATATTCTACATTATTGGTTATAAACAGTGTGCGAAATACCCATCAATATTCGTGGGTTTCCCTATCTCCCTATTGTTGCGCAATACCTATCTTGATACACCCTAAATTTTGCTTTTGAGCCTTTCAGGGGGTCTCATGGGTTAATCGGGGGTATCGGACCCCCCCCCCGTATTTCGCACACTGGTTATAAATGAATGAAAAATATCAAATGCCATTACACAAGCTAAATACTGTGTCAATAAGTGAAAATGTCAAGCATTTTAGCTTTATGAGAATCATCCAACCAATAATTTTTAAAATAGGGCTCTCCCTCCCAGGATAAGCAGCTAAAAGATGGGTGAATTGATGGGTGGATGGATTTTACTTCTATGTTCTGTAAAAGAAGTCAGTACATCATCACCAACTATAGCATTCTTTTTTATTTTTCTGTACAAAACAGAAGAATTTATGTAACAAATTAATAATGCAACTATCATCTGGGAACATAAAAACTGAATGGGGGGGAAAAAAAACTGTACGTATGATCCTGCTGGAGCTTTTTGAAATTCTTCATCACTAGAGAATGTGCCACAGTGTTATTTCACGGACTGCAGCCGGATAAAGGTAAACACAAAGCAGGCCATGTCCGTTTCTCTCTCTGTGGGATATGTAGCTCCTAGCACTCCAGGACTCTGCCAGTCTCCTCATCTCCTAATGTTACCTCAAGCTCCTCAGAGCTAGTCCAAAACAGGCAATCTTCATTTACAGAGAAGGGTAGCTACTAACTGGATAGAGCTGGGTCCTGATCAGGAACCTGAATGCTTGGGGCATATGGTTATGCTGTCTCAGAGTCATGACTAAGCAAAGTGCTTCCTGAGGACACCAAAGCAGCTTTGAGTTCCAACATGTCAGGTAGAAGGTAGGAAGATCTGCAAGACTCCAAAGGACATGGTTGCCAGATGCGTTGAGCAAACCAACTCTCAGCATCCATGACATGTATGATAACCATAAAATATTAAAATAGAAAAGGGTTTGAAATCATTTGGTCATCAAGCTATAAAAACCTTCAAATTTATTCCAAGGTGTGCAGGAGGCGGAGCAAGAGAGAAACACCTGTTTCTGATTAATTTTGTAAATGTACATTACAAATCCTCGTTTCTTTGGGCCAAGGGCTTGGAGACGGATGATTATTGGGTATTTCTCATACTTCCACAGCCTCAGCCTCACAGTCCTCCACGTGCGTCTCCACCTGTTCCTGTGCCACCTGGACCTCCAAGTCCGACACGGGCTGCTCCCCGTTGCCTGTCACCTGCCCCACTTGGATCTCTACCTCTGTCCCATCATCCTGCTGTACCTCAGTGAGTTCTCCTTCCTCCACCTTGCACACCTGTAGTGCCTCCTCCTCATCCTGTGACAGGGGTTTCTCCTCTGGATCCTCCTCCATCACCACGGCTTCTTCCACCTGCTCCACATCCACAGGCTCCACAGTCACGTGCTCCACCCGCATGCCGTCCTCCTCCAGCAGGGCCCCGGCCTCCTCCTCAGAGGTCACCACAGCCACCACGGCGGGGCTGGGCTGTGCAATCAGCACCTCCTCTACGGAAGTGGCTCCGTGGATGTCACGCAGGTGTGTGCGCAGGTCTCGAGGCTGGGTGAACCACAGGTCACACAACGTGCAGTGGTTGGGCTTCTCCCCCGTGTGGATCACAAGATGGTCTTTAAAATGGTCCCAGCTATTGAATACGCTGCTGCACACCTGGGGAAAGCATAAAAAAGGGGAAACAGGAAAGTAGGATCAAAAAATAGTTTTACTAAAGAAACCATTTTATGCCATGTTATGATAGTTCCAGTTCTTTAGCTTCTATGCTATTAGAAAGAAGATTTCCCTTTGAGTCTCCTCCTGTCTGACTCCATCTAGCTCACACAAAACGAACACGACTCTCTTGGATGCAACACTGTACTGTTCCACATGCATTGTGAACATTTTCACAGTTTTACATTATTTATCGTATTGGGATTTTTCCTTGTAATGCTGCGGGACAAGTAATACACCCCACAGGGAATTAATGAAATTCACACATATATTATAAGAGGGCCAGCATGCCTTTGAGCAAGAGATTACAGGGACATTTGCGTAGTACCACCTTACCTGACATTCATAAAGCTTTTTGCGGCCTTTCTTCGCTCCACAGCCATTCTGACAGGCTGCCATGTGGCATTTGAGTGTGCTGTTCCGGGCAAATCGCTCATGGCAATCTGGACACTCAAACGGTTTCTCACCTGCAGACACGATCGAAGTAGGTGAGAATGTCAACCATCATTGACGTCCCACTGCAAGGTCTTGGGGAATATAGCAAAGTCTTATCATACTACCCCAACCACGATTCATAACAATGAATTTCATTTACCAAGGAACACAGAACCACAGATAACGTGGTTTCTCCCCTCACCTGTGTGTTTGCGCAGGTGCTCTTTGAAGTGCCCGAAGTGGTCAAACTGTTTGTCACAGTACTCGCAGACGTGCACCTTCTTCTGTGGCCGGTGGCGCCTCGACTGCTCCTCCGCCTCGAAGTGGCAGCTGTTGAGGTGCTGCTTGAGGGCACCCTCACGTGCGTAAGCCTTGGCACAGTGCCGGCAGGTGTACGGCTTGTCCGTGCCAGCCACGTGCGACCTCATGTGCTGCTTTAGGTGGTAGAAGAGCTTGAAGGAGCGCTCGCATTTGTCACACCGGAACATGTTGTCCAGTTGTGAGATCTGCACCTCCACCACCTCGATGCCCTCCAGGGCCTTAGGGGCCACAACACTCTCATCCTGCAGCACTACTTCCTCGCCTCCCTTTGTCACTACTCGGAGAGCTGGCTCCCCCTGCTGGTACTTGCTGGTGATGTCAGCTAGTAGTGCCAATGCTGAGTCATCTGAGGAACCCTCAGCACTTTGGGCATTTTTGGCTGCGTTCATCACCATCTCCTCCAGCCCAGCCTCCTCCACCTCGATAGAGCCCTCAGAGATCTCCACCTCGATCTCTACAGGCTCTGTCTCCACAGAAGGCAGTGACTCAGTGATGACGTTTGAGGTCTCTGCAATCCTTCTTTTTTTCGCCTTGCTCTTCCCCGTCAGGGTTGGGCTTGTACCAAAGGAAGCACTGCTGTTAATCCTACCAAAGAAAACCCCCCAGGTTCAGCAGATCAGACAACAGGCTGGCTAGCTGGGAACAAGGAAACTTGATGGCACACAATGACGGCAGCCAAGATTCATGTTAAAAGTCAACACGCACCTATTGTTGAGGGCTTTGATGGCCTCCTGCATCTGTAGATATTCGGCTGCTTTCCACACATCATTAACCTCCTCATGGCCGCTGACCACCAGCTTGGCGGTGTAGGTGAATTCCATCAAGTGTCGGAAAGCAGAGTTGCTGACCCCTGTTACAGCAGAGGGCAATACTCATGAGCATCCAACATTGAAAAACAATACTATGCATCTGCTATTACTATTTATTATATCTTACAAGTATCTGAGATATATATAAAATTGTATACGGTCCAGAAAACTAGATGAATAAGAGTCATACAGAAATTAGCAAATTTAATTTGGATACTTGCCCTCAATCTCCACCAGTGGTTCCAGAGTAAAATCTTGGAAAAACTTGTGGAAAAACTGACTGCAGGCAGCCAAGACAGCTTTATGAGCCCTGAACTGGTGTCCTGAAAAGGCAAAAATGTGATGGTGTATAACAGTAATTAAAGTAAAGACAAGTTCACATCTACAGCAAGCAGCATAAAGAAATCGAGTTATATCACTATGAAATGACAGAGCTAATTGGACTGACAGTGTACTGAACACTACATATCTTCGAGGTTGTTCCCAGGGCTTTCAGGCCATATGCATGACTGTATGAGTATGCAAAAAAATTATTCAACTTCGTTGGTGCCATCTGGTGCCAATTTATGGATACTGCAAACCAAATCCTGCAAACAAACATGTCTCAAACTGCAATGGTTGCTAACCCCATGGCATTCTTCAAAGCACACCATTAATACACTTAATACACTTAGCCCTGTAATGAGTATGCAAAGTCAATCAATTGCAGTATATTGTTCAGATTGTATAGTTGCAGGTACACACTCAACAATAATCCAGTGGCATTTAAAAATTTGAAAGAGTGTTACATAATAAGGTTATGTACCATCCACAATTAGGGTGATGTCGGTAAACTGGTCCAGTTGGCGCTGCTCATTGAGCTTGTCCAGCATGACCTTGTAGTGTGCGGGGAACTCATTCCCAAAGTCCACCTCACCGTCATCTGACATGATTCAGCCAATTGTCTGGAAATAATCCACAGAAAGAATAAAGGAATCACCACATGAAATGAACAAATGCCTCCACTTCAACTTATCTGTGATTGTGGCCTGTAGATATATGATAGGCAGAGTCATGCACTGAGGTCCAGATAGTGACTAGGACTGGAGTAGTTACTACTAGAAATATGAGGAGATGACAGGGTGAGAAAAACATTTGTGCCAAAGAAATTTTTAAAAATAACTACAATTTTTAAATAAGGGCAACATGTGCCTAAGCTAAAAAAAATTAAACTCTGATAAAAATGAAATGCACAGAGAAAAAGCAAAGAATAAATCTACTGACAGAACCCACCATAGTTTAGATAGATAGATAGATGGACAGATGATAAATGTAAACTTAAACGTATTTGAAAAAAACATATTACCTTTATATTCTTATTCATATGAACTGCAATGGGACCAAAGCATAGTAGATAAGTCTGGCAGTCACTGTTTGACATCATGCCTAAACTGTGTGAGTTTTATCCATCTATTTTCACCACCACTATCCAATGCAGGGTCGTAGTAAGCCTGAAGCCCAATAAGGTGAAAATGATTAATTGTCCTTGTTGACACACCGCAGAACACAACAACAAAACGTGCTCTCTGCATTTAACCCATATGTGACATAGCAGTGCTGCTACTATTATTTTCCAGTGGACAGTGCATGGGGATGACACCTTTATGGCACGGTGCTGGTCGGGATTCGAACCAGAAACCTTTCAATCACGAGCACGCTTCCTTTACCGTTAGGCCAACACTGCCCAGCATTAAACCACGGTATGACACAGGGGACAACCTCTATTGGATTTCAATCAAACACACACTACGCACAACTCAGAGAGACAAAACAACTAAACCTTGACTTTTGAACATATGCAGGAAACCCAACATGGGAGAATTAATCCCACAACCTTGGAAGTGTGAGATACGTACGGAGTTACCGTAAAATTAAAATAAATCTGCCGCGGAAAACTATTTTAAACCGTCTCTACTGCGTTAAATGCACCATATCTCATTGCTTGTATACCGATACTACATTGTCATTTTTACATATGACACGAACGGCCAACCAGTCAACTACTAACGCGAACCAGAAAAGTGTGATGCACCGAACATTTGACAATGGTCCATGTACGAAGCTTCATACTATTTTGAATGAACGTTTAAAAACATCCAATCAAAAGAAAAACAAACCCACGTCAGTCAAAAACGTTAGCCAATTAAATATGTCGGAGCAGGGGCGATTCTGGGTAGGAAACGACACAGTCTCCAATCACATCGTAGATGACGGTGTCAAATATATCAAAAAGACCAATTACTGATTAGTAGGCGGTCAACGTGTAGCCGCTAGCACACTACCGATGGTTTACTGCGGAAGGCCTTATAAGAACCTCCTCAACCTTCGAATAAAGACATCAGCAAAACAATATGCAGCATAGAATTGGATAAAATGTATTTATACGGCAACTTATACTAAGTATATACAGCTGGAACCAGTTGGACGACAACTAACGCTTAAGAACTCTAAACGGGCCTGCAGGCGCTCATTCCATTTGTTGTTTGACCATCGCCATTACGTCATCAAATCGCGCATTAAAATCCACATTTTTATCGGACGTATTGATAAATAAACTAGCCTCACTTAAAAACAATTTATTTATCACGCCGTTAAACCTACCCCAAGAAGGTTCCACTGCTTTATCCAGTTATTTTCTGAGTCTATATCTCGCTCAGTTTCCCCTGTGCTGTTCTTCTGTCGTTCCCCAGAAAAGGGCGGTCGCTTTCTGAACGGGCCTCTGATTCCCAGCAGCCCATGCGAAGTCTGAAAGAGACGACGCTGATTGGTAGTGTTGCTGGGCAACTGCAGTGGAATAAACCAAAATGGCGCTATCGCCAAAGCACGCATTGCAGTACTACTCATTTACGCTGCCTGCCCAAAAAAGGTCACCGCTTGGATTTAACTAAGCAAATAGGTAAGAGCCTTCCATTTGATAAGTACTGCAATGATTAATATGTTTCATCTGGCAACAAGTTATTTAACCCTAAATGATGCAGTGAGTAGCTTCTGATTTAAATGACCAAGTCGGAAGACATATCCTGTGGTCGTGGAAAAGATGTTACGTTGTATCAGAAGGGTCAAATTATTGGCCTGCATCAAGCAAAGAAAACAACTAAGGCGATTGCTACAATTGCTAAAATTGTGTTAAGAATTGCCAAACGCATCATTAAAACCTGGAAGGATAGTGGTGAACCATCATATTCGAGGAAGAAATGTGGTTGGGAAAAAAATCTTCAATGATCGTGATCGGGGATCGCTTGAACGTTTGGTGAAATCAAATCCTAAAAAATCATCAGTAGAACTCACGGCTTTGAAAAGAAAGTGAAAGTAATAATATTTCCACACGCACAATGCGAAGAGAACGTAAGGCATTGAGTTACAGATGTGTAGCCTTAAGAAACCACCTATCTGCGAGGCTTCAAAAAGGCTTCAGTTTGCCAGGTAGCATAAAGATTAGACTCTGGAGCAATGGAAAAAGGTCATGTGGTCTGATGAGTCCAGATTTACCCTGTTCCAGAGTGATGGGTGCATCAGGGTAAGAAGAGGGAGATATGAAGGGATGCACTCACCCTGCCTAGTGCCTACTGTGCAAGCCTGTGGGGGCAGTGTTATGATCTGGGGTTGCTTAAGTTTGTCAGGTCTAGGTTCAGCAAAGTTATGTGCCCGACGAATGAGGTCAGCTGACTACCTGAATATACTAAATGACCAGGTTCTTCCATCAATGGATTTTTTTCTTCCCTGATGGCACAGGCATATTCCAAGATGACAATGCCAGGATTCATTGGGCTCAAAAAGTCAGAGATTGGTTCAGGAAGCATAATACATAATTTTCACACATGGATTGGCCACCACAGAGTCCAGACCGTAACCCCATCCAGAATCTGTGGGATGTGCTGGAGAATACTTTATGCAGTGGTACCACTATCACTACAAGATCTTGGCAAAATATTAATGCAACTCAAGATGGAAATAAATGTTGTGACATTGCATAAGCTTATCGAAACGATGCCATCGCGAATGCATGCTGTAATCAGAGCTATAGGCTGTCCAACAAAATATTAATGCATAACTTTTGGCCAGGCAGTCTATTATAAACAGCCATTTAACTGTGCAGAGAATATGTTAATCTTCACAAAAGCGTCCATAGGCATTAGGTTGAAAGGAGATATATTTTCAGTTGCTATAATGTTATTTGGTGTTATTAGTGCCAGTTTATAATATAGTTTATAGTGACAATTAAAAGCATCAAAATGATTTTTTAATAATAGAATATAGATTCCTTGTTCCCCAACAGAAATGTTCATAGTTGCTTGGAAGAAAATAGTATTACACAGTAAATGCATTTAAGCATAATTGTACAGTGGAAAGCAGATCTTTAACGTTAAACTCTGATTATGAGTTTTTTAAGAAAATGAAGGGATGTCTGACAATTTCAACAAGACATTTAAATGGAAAGTGAAAAGTGCCAGGAGAAAACCGATATACCCAATTTTTTTAAAATGTCTGCCTTGTCTTCGCAAGGGGGTCTCCTAGTGTCCTCAGTAATGACTAGAGATATGTACATAATTCTACTGTGTGTGAGAAGGGTGCACCAAAACGTGTTGAAATTCACAGTGAGGCAGCAGAGGCATTTGAGGTAAAGATAGCCAAGCTGATTGCAAACTTAATTGGAATAATGATAACCAATACAGTACATAATAAACAAGTGTACATATGATAAATACTAGAAAGTTTGTAAACAAGGGTAAACTGAAGGCTGTTTGCTAATGAGGAGAGACTTTCCATTGGAAAAATATCCACTGACTCCTGCTTGAGTGTTTGCAAGATGACAAAGCTTTTCTTTCATATATGAGTTTAAGATTTAATATTTACATAATAAAATTTATTCTGGGTAAGGGGACATGCAGATCTCATCTTGAAGTCTATTGAAATCAGAATAAAAGTGTATTTGTTTCGTGGCAGACATCCATAACTTCATTATGAATATAATGAAAGGCCTTGTTTTTGCATTGTAAAGAGTGCAGGCTGCATGAATACTGGGAAGGAGAGGCAGGAATCTTGTGTCCCCTAGGAGGTACAATGAAGAGCAGTTCTGGAAAAGATATCACTTGTCAAAACAGACAGACAAAGAGATGGAATATGCCAGTCTACATTATCTTGCGATACAGTCTTTTGTGTGCTGTGGTGGGGATCTTATCAATGTCCACGGAAGCACATTTTGCCTGTCAGTCCACAAGGTGCCCAGGACCCTTGCTATACTCCATTTCAGATGTGTCATCATGCCAACTGGGGATCAAAAGAGGTTTTTCTGCTGCAGGGCTGCCCAGTCCTCCTCCTGCAGAGCTACCCCCCTGCAGAGCGTAGTTACAGCCCTAATTAAACACACCTGATACAGATAATCAGGCCCTTCAGTTATATATCAGTATGAGAACCAGCTTGACTTCAACATAGCTGACTCTAATACTGAGGTGATGCTGAAGTGCCTGATTACCTGTATCAGGCGTGTTAAATTAGGGCTGTACTTAAGCTCTGCAGGGTGGCAGCTCTCCAGGAGCTGGACTGGGCAGCCCTGCTCTGCTGCATTTTATAGTAAAACCAGCATATCTGGGGTGATTGGCATTTTGTGAACTACACCCATGTCTCAACTGTGTTTCATAGCACTGTGTAGGACTGGGCATTTGTCAGGTAGCACTGGTACTGTAATGGATTTCGGTAGGCTAATTGTAAAGTCACATGCATTTTATTGTCTGTTTCTTCCCGTAATGTGTGAGCATGAAGCAGTTTTGCTTATTGAATGATTTGTTATTTCTGTGTCACAGGTACACCTTTCTGAATGGCCAGGTGATGTGAGACATGGGTATGCACGGTCAAAACACTGTTGAAAGGTGGCCGGGCAGAAGACAAATGAATGTGGAAAGGTCTGTAAGTGATAACACTACAAAAAGAAATGGTCATCATCCACTGAGGATCGTCAACTACCGTTAGTTCCAGGGCAGAAAAACCACTTGTCGACCCAGCAAAGATATTTTTGCCTCCTCTTCACATGAAACTGGCACTAATGAAGATTTTGTGAAAGCAATGAACAAGGAAGGTGAAGGATTTTGTTATTTAAGACAGATGTTCCCAGGATTAACTGACGCCAAGATCAAAGAGGGCATATTTGTTGGCCCTCAGATCAAACAACTTATGAGTGACAAGCGGTTCGAAGATCTGTTAGTTAGGCCGGAAAAAATTGCCTGGAAAGCCTTTAAAGATGTTCACAATTATAGAGCCCCAAACTATATTCAACTGGTAGACAAACTTCTACATGCATATGAAGCATTGAAGTGCAACATGTCACTCGATTCATTTCCTCTACTCACACTTGGACTTCTTCCCTGCAGAACTTGGTGCTGTCAGTGATGAACACGGTGAAAGGTTTCACCAGGACATTGCTACAATGGAAAAACGTTATCAGGGCAACTGGAATCCATCAATGCTGGCTGACTACTGTTAGGCACTGCAATGTGATGCACTTGACATTGAATACAAACGAAAATCAAACACTTCTAATTATGTTGTACTTAATAGCAGATGAGAACCATAAAGGCGATTAAATACGTATATTTCTCAGAGTTCCTACGTGATGCAGCAAAACCAAAACCATATTTGTGCATACCCAACAGGTACCTGTCACAATTAGCAAAAACTTTTTAGAAAGCAAAACTTTTCAAAAAAATTGTTGTCCAGTGATACCTGTCCACCATTCACTGCACCCCCCCCCCACCATATAGCCATTGTCCCCTACTTTGTCCTCACCCCCACCAATATCTATCTGTGAAAAAGGTGAACAGCCCTGAGCCTGTTGGTGCATCTTCAGCCTCCTTGAAGTACCGTGCTGATCAGCTGGCACTGCTTTTCACAGACATCTTTAGTCAATCCCTAGACCTCTTCATTGTCCCAGCCTGCTCCAAAAGTTGAACAATCATATCAGTCCCCAAAAAGCCAAGATTTCAAGGCATGAACGTTAACAGACCAGTTGCCCCGACATCAGTAATCACAAAGACTCTTGAGAGACTTATGCTTGTCTACGTAAAATCCATCCCAGCCCCTTGCAGTTGGCGTAAAGGACAAACAGGTATGCAGACCATGCAGTCAACCTGGGATTCCACTTCATCTGCAGCATTTGGAGTCTCCTGGAACCTATGCCAGGATCCTGTTTCAGCTCCGTGTTCAATGTTATAATTCCATCTCCGTTGCAAGACTAAACTTTCCCAGTACCTGATGCCACATGATGTAGGATTACTGACTTCCTTAATGACAGGAAGCAGCATGTGAGGCTGGGACAGATCACCTCTCTGACCCTCAGCTCCGCAGCACCGTGGGGCTGAGCATCCTCTCCATTGTTTTTCTTGTTAGACTGTCCACTGCACAATTTTTCAGGAATCCCACTCTTTAATGCTATATTACCCTTTATTTGAGTTATTGTTTTGTTTGTGTAGTTCTCAGAGCAGTCACCTAGTCCAAATTCCTTTTGAAGAAGGAGCTTAGAGTGGAGTTCTTCTCACGTATCTGCTACCCCTTGCTCCGATAACCTATAACACCTGTCCAAAAGCTCATATCTCATGCTGAGTTATGAATTAGCAAAAGCCTCTTTATACACACACACACACACTCGCACACGCTGCCACTCTGCTTCACACACAATACTCATTAAACATGAAGTACAAGAAAAAATGACCTCTAGTGACATGTAGGTGATTTTTAAAGAAACAGGGTTACAGCTGTAAAGTACAGGGCTAGAGAACACAGTATCTAAGAGGGAGGTTATAAGGGGCACTAATAACATATAATATATATATATATATATATAAAGGTTAGTGTGTATATATATTACTGTTACTGTTTTTGTTGTTTGAACAATGTATTTAGTGTTTTTGGACAGGTGGAAAGTATGACAAGTAATCGAAATCTTCATTACCATGAACATCATAAAATATCCCATAAGAAAAAGGCAGGGTCTGTGGTGACTTGTTGCAAGCGAATGTTTAACTGACTTTGAGCTGTGTCTTCAATGGTGCTGAATTATGGCCTTTTCTGGCTGAGGATACATAGTTTACTTTCAGAATCTGTCCAAATAAGCATTAACTTTCTGAAGCTGCTGAGTAATCAACACTGGAAGTTAAATATTCACTTGGAGTCTAATGGTATGTCTGTTTGAGGGGACAAAGTAAAGAAAACGTATTCCTTACTTCAATACGGAGCTGTGTTAGGGCCGCCTTAAACCTACGAAGTGGAACACAACATTACACTTTAACTGATGGTCCAAAGGCAGCTGTCTTGATTTAATCTTCCACTGAGGAATGCAACATTACGTTCTAACTAAGCATCCCAAATGAAGTCACTCAGACTGGGCCAGAAGAAATTATAAAGAATCCTCCAACAATAAGCAATAAGACACTTTGAGGCAACATGAAATGCATGTTTCATGTATGTCCAGTGGTATATGGAACATCTACAGGTACAAAATGATGCTAATGAACCAGTACACATTTTCTTATTTCAGCATCAACATATGTCTATATTTAACAAATGCTATTGTCCAGTAGTAGCAGTAGGGTGTTTAACCAGCCCTTTTGTTAAGATAATGATAATGAAGATGAAGATTCCATAGGAGAGAAATAGTAACTGAGAACTGCAGTGTTCCTGTCTAACTGTATCTGTATTTACGTTGCTCTTTTATCTACAGTAATGTACATTAAAAATAGTGCAAACAACAAAAAAGTCATTGAAATAGACTTTAAACCCAGTGCATTCACAATAATTAATGCAAGTTATTCTGCTTTTCAGGAGCTTGTTCCACCAATAAAGTAGAATTTAAAATGTGCACACTACAGACATTCCCAACAGCTCAAAGCTGCTGAGATAAGCAGGAAAACTTGCATGAGTCCCAAACTATTTGTTGTTTTTGTAGATCGAAACCAAGGTCTTGAACTTGATTTGAGAACAATCCCCTTTTGATGAAAACAGATGAAGAGCTGCTTGTGAGCCTGGAAGGATGCAGAGCAAGCAGCTGCACAGCAGATGATCTGGAAGGGTTAGTAGGCACAGGAAACAAGCTGCAACAGTCCAAGCATGACCGCAGCACGCTTGAGGAAGGTGTTTGCTACAGTGAAAATTCCATATAGAACTGTAAACATTTAAGCATTTCAGCTAATAATTGGCAAGCGTGTATGTGTGTATATATAAAATATACATTTTTTTCCATAGGATGGACCTTTATACAGTGATAAACATAGTTCACCATGACATTTCAGAAGGGAAAATTCTAGATAAGATATGTGTACAAGGCCCCGGTAATCTTACCGATTTATGGTATAGCTATATTGAGCATTTAACAATCCAGAAGGCCTTTATTATGCAAGAGATTAAAAAGGTCCTCATGACCTTTCTGCTAGCATTCACTTATTTCTTTATTATTCCCCTTTAATCGTGAGTTTGTTTATGTTATATTACATATTCACTCTAATATTTACATAAATGAATAGGACATATTCTAATCCGATATTTAAAATAGCCGTGTCTTTTCATACATACAAGGGTACATCCTTCATATCTTCAAACTTTAAATTATTTGGTCTGCTAACAGAACAATTTGGTTGGTTATCAGACGCAAAGCAGACTGCAGGCCATTGTTATGGTAGCCAATCGGAGACATCCCCTGAGCCGCAGAAGGGTGGCACTGTGACCATCAAGGTGCATTAACTTAAGCGAGAATGACCTGAAGATTCATGTAATAATAGGTGCCATGGGGAGTTTTAGAAGATTAAAAAATGCTTGTTAGAACATTGAACAAGGGACTGTGAGTTAATTTTTTGGTTGGATTACTCTTTAAGTATGGCTCCTCTCTTTACGATGGCCACGGACATTAGCAGACTGTAGCCCCAACTGGGATAGCTTTGTCTGTTCTGCAGGCGTTGGATTGAACTTTGTCCTACATTCTGACTTGAAAAACAAGTCAAGTATAAATAGGAGGGGCAAGCAAGGGTGGAATGTATTTCTGGGGAAGAGGCACAGCTGGACAGACAAAGACTGAGAGTGCAGTTTACCAGATTGTAAGTAATATAAGGTTTGTTTTGTTTTAGAATAATTTCTGTTCAGAATTGACCGCTGTAAGCGCGTCGACTATATTAATCTACCAGTTTTTACATGCAATGTTGATTATATCTCACACATTGTTTTGTTTTACATTGTGTTGTAAGTTATGTTAAAGATGTGTCAGAAATCTGTAGTTCCCTTCAAAATGTTTATCTGAATTATATACAGTGCCTTATTTTTTCATCATTCCTTCCTCGAGGCACAGCCTTAATGTGTGTTTAAATGCAGAAGTGAGCAGGGGTCTTGGTGTTTGCCAGAGCGGGGGTCTTGGTGTTTGCTTTGTTTGCTCTGTTGGAGCAGACAATCCAGAGCACATTTACTTAAAAAAAAAGCCTGCAAGTTATTATGAAAGAGTGATTAGTGAGCACTTCGGTAATTTATCACAATAATAACCTCAAAATAATTTTGTTAGTTGATAAGATGTTTTTTTGTCATATCTGTTTATTATTCAAAATTCAACAAAGTTAAAGCTTATTTAAAAGATAACAGGATTGTTTTTGGTGCATTAACATTAAGAAGAACATCAGAATCAGTCATTTCCAACAAAGGTATAGATGGTATTCACCTGATTTCTGTCCCCTCATTTGTTCTTCATTCTTGCCGGACCTTGATTGGTTGCTGTGCAGTGCGGCGTGCCTGCGCTCCGTAGCCATGCGGACGGGGCTCTGCCTGGCCTTGGCTCTGTGCCTGCTCCCATGGGGAGGGGCAGAGAGCGAGGTCGAGGGGAGCCACTGCAGGCCGGCCCCGCCCTGGAAGATCGAGGACATGGAGCCGATGAGTGCCTCCATGGGGACGGTGACCGTGGTGGCACTCCTCAAGGCCAGCTGACCTTTCTGCCTGGTGCAGGCATCCAGGTATGACACGATTGTGCGCGATTGCACTGGCAGCACTGCTAGTATTCAGCCAGGGACATAACCTCCATGCCATATCATTCATACAGACAAAATAGGAACAGAGAAGCACAACATACAGCACTGGAAAAAATTAAGACACCAAAATCTGCATGTTTAATCCCGGTTCTGCTGGCAGAAGCTACGCTGAGCAGCAGGTTGCTTCCAGGCTCAAAGTTTCTAAGACAGCAGTACACAAGAACAAGGTGAAGCAGGAGACACTGGGAACGACCAGAAACCAGCCTGGTAGAGGGCAGAAGCGACTTTCTAATGACAGAGATGACTGTCAACTTATCCGGCAGTGCCTCATAAATCGGAGGATGACCTCAAATGACAAAAGAATGGGAAACATTAAATGGGGTGAAGTGCACTGCTAGGACAGTTCATAACAGGCAGCTAGAAGCAGGACTGAAGGCCCATAAAACACGGAAGAAGCCCTTCATCACTGAGAAGCAGAGGATAGTCAGGCTGCAAAAAAAAACCTTATTCACAGAAGCACCTATAAATTGAAAAAAGAGTGAAACATAAGATTTTGCTGTGGTTTCTCAGTTTTTTTTCAGTGCTGTATGTAACTCAGTTATATTTTCAGTGTTCCAGTGAACCACACAGACTCCCCGGCCAAACACCGTATTTATCAGCAGCTCTCCTGCAGTGGAGGAAGCAAAGATACCGGTAACTAAAGGACATGCCACCATCTCCCCTTTTGCAGAATGGATGAGCTGCGCCTGAAGCTGACAGCACAGGGTCTGGCTAACGTCACCTTCATGGTGGTGAACAGCCAGCACAAGGCATCACGGCGGCTTCATCACCAGCTGCGGCAGGAGATGTCTGACAACATAACGCTGTACGCACAGGATCCTTGGCAGCCTGATATATGGAAGGCCCTGTCAGGTGACACAGATGACTTCCTGGTGTATGACAAGTAAGTGTAAGCCCCTCCCCCACCGTCTCCACCCACCGGTAATCAATTCAAATCTTCATGGGAGGGTCACAGCGCGGGGCCACGTGCGAGTCCCTAATGCGATGCACTTTCTCCCCACACAGGTGTGGTCGTCTCACCTCTCACATCTCCACACCGTACTCCAACCTCTCGGCGCCCCATGTGGAGAGCGCCATCCGAGGGTCATACTGCAGCAGTGCCTGTGGCAACTGCTCGTCAGAGGTAATGCCTGCCTGTCAGGGACAAAAATAAAATAAATAATAATAAAATATATATGTAAAAAAAAAAAAAGATTACCACAATACTGCACCATCGTACTGTATGTCAGTTTGCTGATGACCGTATAATGAGAAATTTGACTATCTATCTATCTATCTATCTATCTATCTATCTATCTATCTATCTATCTATCTATCTCTCTATTTCTCTATCTATCTATCTATCTATCTATCTATCTATCTCTCTCTCTATTTCTCTATCTATCTATCTGTCTATCTATCTATCTCTCTATTTCTCTATCTACCTGTCTATCGTGTCTGTCATCACAGGACTCAGAGCAAATAGAAGCATGTAAGAAGCCAGCGGAAACAGAAGGCGCGGACAAACTTATGGGTGACGAAACAGTGACTTTGGGACCGGAACTTGGCAGGCTTCCTTGGCGTCATTACGATCTTGGTGAAAGTAGTCAGATTCATGGTCACAAGAAACATCATGTTGATGGTCACGGTCACGGTCACGGTCACGGTCATGGTCATGGTCATGGTCATAGCCAACATCACGACCAGACTCTTCATAGTGGTAGTCACAGTCATGGAGACCATCCTGGCCACAGGCTCCAATTAGACCAGCAGGACTTCCAAAACATTCAGTCCCAGCTGAATCAGCAGTTGTCCCTGCAGGAGGTGCTCCACCTCTCTGTTCAGCGGCAACAGCAGCCCTGAAAGAAAGAGCAGCCCAGGTGAAGAGTGCAGTACAGCTGAGAGCAGGGGGCGGAGTCGCACAACTCCGCCTCTGTGACCAGCTGAT